TTTTTTTTAAAAATGGGCTCAAGCCACTGAGCCACTTCAAAAGTCCAGGTGTATAGAATATTATACAGGTAGATATTTTAAATTTTTTGCAAATGGAAAAGGTTTTCCCTCATAGAACAACAATAGTATTTCAACAAATTCAAAGTATATAAGGCAAATCCAGCAATGAAATGAGGAGAATCTTCTCTAGACAGAGTTATAGTTGTGCTATATTTTCCCTTTAAATAATGGATGCTCTTGGGCAGGGGTTCATAATAAATCTTTCCTATGGAACCCTTTGACATAGTGTACCAACATCCCTGAATTTTTTTTAGCACAAACATTTTAATAAGTTGCTTTTTTATTATCATTTTCAAATATTTTGCTCATAAATGTTTAGTCTTATGATATTCCTGAAGCTTTTGCTAAAAAAAAGGCAATGTCTTTATCTTTGTACAAAATAAATGAATATTATTGGAGCACTAAATTCACTAAAGTTCTATGGGGCAAAAAAAATAGAGCTTCTATAAGATTAGTAAATATACAATTGTAAGTAATTTTGTCAGTTGTAGCTACCACACTTCAAAGTGTTCCCTTCACCAAATACAAGATATCGGATACAATATTAAGAAGTGGAGCGATATGAAGTTGATAAACCCCTTTCACCATATTAAAAAAAAAAAAAAAATATTATACTTATACTTTTTTCGCTGGATGAGACTCTAATTCATATATGGCATATAGAAAAAGAAGAAATCAAGAAGATCATAGTACAGATCTGTATGAACGATATATATATATATATATATATATATATACACATATATACACACACACACTAAATCAGCTGGATATAAAAGTAACAATTTATTTGTATACAATATATAAAACCAAAATAATTTTCAACAGGCTTTCTCTATTCACACTTTGGATATGGAGAGGAGTCGACGAACATCTGAAATCTTTCATCCAATACATTAATCTAAATAAGTGGGAAATAAGTTTATCATTTGACTACAGTGCAAAAGAGGTCAATTTTTTAGACCTCACTGTATATATAGAGGAAGGAAAAGTTAAAACCAAATCCTTCTTCAAATCCATTGATGTAAATAGCTATATAGACATAGGTAGTTGTCATTATAGCCCATGCCTTATGAATATTCCGAAAGGCAACTAACTAGAATAAAGAGAAATTGTACTGACCAGACAGTTTTTTTGCATCAAAGTCAGCGGATTGTTTCTGACTTTAGGGAGAGGGGCTATGGTGACCATATTCTATGTAAGGCCATAGAGGATATCCAAAGTGTGAATAGAGAAAGCCTGTTGAAATATAGAGTTCAAAAAGAAAGTATTAAGCAGGAAATGTGTGTTCCATTCATTTGCCAATTTTCAGGGCCCCAAAATAATCAAGTCAGAAAGATAATTTCTGAACATTGGCACTGGTTACTAAAAGATCCAGTTTTGTCAAGATTCTTACTCTCTAACCCTAGAATAATGCATAGAGGAGTTAAGAATATGAAAAGAATCTTAACAGATAACATCCAAAACATAAATACAGTCAAACCTATTTTTTTAAATCAATTAAAAGGTTTGTTTAGATGTGGCAACTGTAATGCCTGTCGTAACACACGGAGTGAAAAACAGTGTATTAAAGAGTACGCAGTAAATAGAAAGGTATACAAAATAAAAAACCTCATAACCTGCCAAACGCAGAATGTAATACATATGTTGATTTGTCCATGTGGCCTAAGGTATATATGTAGAACTACCAGGCAATTGCGAATCAGAATATGTGAACACACGTATAACATTAAGAGAAAATGTCAACAACATCAAGTCTCCCTACACTTTGAAGAGTTCCATAATTCGGATCCCTCACTTTTGGAACTTATGGGAATTCGACAAATAAATAGGATTTGGAGGGGGGGCAATTTAATTCAAAATCTAGGCCAAACCGAGATGAGGTGGATATTGAGCTCAATACCCTCATTCCTAACGGATTGAATAATGATTTTGAGATTTGTCATTTTTTGGATTAGAAGGAATGCTCTAGGGGATGTACAACGTTTGAGCTAGTTTAGAATATTTTTTAAACCCTGATTTTACCGGAACTTTATGACAGACTTGTTTTAATAGGTCTTTGGTCATGATGATACTTTTTGTTTAGATAAACACTCCAACAAACTCTGGATCCTTCCTCAAAGAAGTGTATGCATTTTGAAAACATGACACTTCTTTGCATTCAGATGGACTCCATTGGTTTCTTCAGAACTTATTTAGGGGTCTTATATCAATTGGGGTAAATACTTCTGCTACCAAAAAGCTGAAATATTTGTATTAGTTACCATGTCACAACTATTTTCCCTGCAACTTTAAATCGTTATGTATGTTGTGTAAACACCAATCAATTCAACTTTCACTGTGCAGCACTGCCCCAGGAAGCACCATTAGTAGCCATCTAAGGAGTGGCCAGTGGAGGTATAACTAGCTAGTAATGAAAACACTGCATTTTCTCTTAAAAGGCAGCTTTTACTACAAAAGCCTGGAGGGAATGATTATACTCACTAGAACAAATACAATAAGCTGTAGTTGTTCTGGTGACTATAGTGTCCCTTTAACTCCAAGTTGTAACACTACAAGATGTGGACATATTCAAGAGGGATGATGGTGAATGTTTGGAAGATCAATGTATACACACCAAATTAGTTTAATCATATTGTTTTCAAGTGTCATATTTTATATTTAAATACTAATAGAATATTATCTACACTTGCAGATTATCTATGTATACAGGAATCCAAAAGATGTCTTGGTGTCCTTTTATCATTACTATAAACTTATGGTGAAGGTGCAACAGCCAAATAGCTGGGAACATTTCATTGACCTCTTTATAGCTGGCAAAGGTAATCTTTACTTCATGCAAAGCATGTGATTGAGGTATATTTACTATTGAATACACAATTTATTTTTTTCCTTTGTGTTTTTTTGATATTTGATGGCTACTAAGTTTTCTTCTGTTAATGGTATCTAAATAATATTTATATACAGTGGTGTATTTTGGATCTGTGCGGTCCTTGGCATGATGGAACTCGGGCACCCCTAATTTACATTTCCCTTGCCCCTTCCTGTCAAAACCACACCTCTTTCTGTTAAAGACTAACACACATTTTGACTGACAGACACACACGGATACACCCACTCACTGACAGTAACACACTCTCAGATGCACTGACAAACACACACACACACTCACTGATTTGACACAATCTGACACACACACACACACAATCACTCACTAACAGACATACACATAATCACTCAGACACACATACTCACTCAGAGACACACCCCTACCCACAGTGGCTGACAGAAATTCACTCACAGACACACACTGACAGATATTCACTGAAAGACACACACTGACAGACACAATCACTCAGAGACATACACTGACAGACAGACAAACACACTCACTCATTCACAGATACATGTTCACTCACAGACACACACGCTGTCTCAGTCTGACAGACACGCACCTACTCACTCACCCACAGACACACTGACAGCTATACACACACACACACACATTCACTGACAGACACACATACTGATTCACAGACACACTGTCACAGACTGACAGACACACACACACACACTTACTCACAGACACACTGACAGCTATACACACACACACACACACACACACAGACATTCACTGACACACACACATTTCCCCCCAAATTTAAATCCACCCAGCCTCCCTATCTTTGGGAGAGCAGTATGGATATTTTCACCTGTGGATCAGTGGGGCTGCAGGGCTAGCTAATGGCCAGGTTGTTTGGTAGACAGGCAAGCGTGCAGGCAGACAGGTGGTCTGGGGCACAAAGCAGGCAGCTAGGGTGCTGAGCTCTTCCTGCTCAGCTCCCTCATGCGCAACAGAGTAATAACGGGAGCAAGAGTGACGTTATCTTCTGGCTTCCGGCATTACTATGCAGCATGCAACGGAGCTGAGCAGGAAGGGCTCAGCACCCTCTCTGCCTGCTTCGCGCGCCTGACACAGAACTGGCCATCTGCCTTGGGGGCCCAAAGGTGGCCAGTCGGCCAGCTCTTAAAACAAGGCTAACAAGGCAATTGTCTGAGCATTTGGGGGCAGCGTTTTTTGCCGCCCCCTGGAAAGTGCTGCCCAAGGCAATTGCCTTGATAGCCTTGAGGAAGATACAGCGCATAACATTAGTTTTACAAGAGAATATATTAAGAGTTTATTAAAGAAATACCTGCATAACAATTTATGCTTATTAAAGTTGTTCTGGGGGCAAGAATGTCTGGGACTTCTTACCTTCTGATACCATTATTAGGGTTAGAGTGTTTTTCTCAATGGATGCAGGTTAGTAGGGTGAGATCATCAGCAGATGGTCTCAGCCTACCAGCAAACTATTGCCTACCCTTCCTTATACTGCAAAGAAGAAAACATCAAGAGATCTACCCTTGCAAGTCCATCTTGGAGAGAGAGCTCTGTGGCCAGTGGGGAGATTAAAAATCTCCCTTATGGCTAGCTCACTATTATCAAGAGGGGTCACCAGTGGCCCAGGTAGCTTTCAACCTCCAACTAACCCTTTGTTGTACTGTGCTGCAGAGAAGAACGGAAGCTAGGAGGCACAAGAGTCAAGCAGCAGAGACACGGTTTCAGGGTGAAACTGTAGCTTGCCAAATGTTTTAAAATGTTTTAACCGCTGAAGGTAAGAAGGTTTAAGCTGTTGTGGAGAAGGGCATGTTCCTGTAAAGGAAGGTTTACAAAAAAAAGAAAGCATTCTTATTTTGTAGAAGACCTTGAAATAAGTACACAGTCTGTTATTTCACAGCTTTATGGTACGAGCTAGCTGGCCTTGCTTTAATATTTTTAAATAAGCTTCTCAAATCATATGAAATTCTGTAAAAATATTTAAAGATGTTGATATATTTTTTGTAAAGGTGTTAGCCTGAAGTTGTGGGAGGAGTTGCTCAGCCTATGTAAACCCAGACCTCATCTACTTACCTGCACTCGATTTCGAGCATTGCTGTGGATCTTTAACTTCTGAGTTAAGACTGTGGGAGATCCTGATCACTTCACGGAGGTCAAGCTGTTCACAGAGGTTCTGCTGCTGCCGGGCGCCTGTCGGTTCCACGAGCTCTGTCTCTAAACAGTGAGTTTGCCAGACGGGTGCCTCTCATCAGGCTGTCTGGACCAGTGGCTCGGGTCCCATCCAACTCACCTGGTTCCCCGGGCACCACACTACGACATTACAGGACCCTCCCCATATACACCCTGGATTCGCCAAGTGGAGTTAGTTCTCGCATTTAAACTTGCCACGTGTCAGTTTTCGTTTAACCGAACAAGTTGTTTGACCGTTTTAACTACCCCCCCAAAGGTACGGACAATACTACTCGCATGAATCTTGCCATTTCGGGCCACGTTCGGCACTTTCATTTCGGATTTTTACGAAGCTGTCTTAAAATAAAGGGTAAGGGATTACGCTTTAATTCCCCTCATTTTAACTGGATTTCAGCTTTTCGTTTAACATATATTTGAAGGTTGCTGTGTTAATATCGCCACCTTGTGGCCTTGTTTACAACAATTGTTTTGTGTTAATTACTGTGTCTAATGTCTGATTAATTCCTGATTGAGGTTTGTTTCCTTAACCTAGACTGTTGTTTTCACGGGGACAGTTATATGCACTATAGTTCCTACAACTTGTACGTTCAAATTCAAACATATCAAGTATTTATCATTTTTTCCGCTTGCTTCAGCCTCATTTGGTCTACCTTTCATGAATTAATTAGCCAATCAGGAGTTCCAAGTGTCTTTCTGCTAAATATTGGTACGTGGTTTAGGGTATTGTTTGCTTCAAGGGATTATTATTTGTGAAAAAAATATTGTTTATTATAGTAGTTGATTTTAGTCCTATCTCCATGTAGGTACTGACGCTCATCCATCCAAGCCCGCATGAATTGTCGCTCTAGCGAAATATTAAAGGTCATTCTTGCCGCTAGACTTATTAGTAAGTGGCTATCATTTGAATTGTTTCTTGACTGCAGGTATTTTTATTTGTTGGAAGTTATAAATTAAGTCTTGTCAACTGGTCTTCTCCCAAGTATTCATTACCTGCAGCCTCATGTGGCATTTGAGAATCAGGAGACCGGCATTGGTTCACCTATGCTATTTTTAGGATGTAGGCCCTAGTGGGAGTTTTTATGGGTACTTTTCTCTTATTTTAGTAGACACTCCTGTTTCTTGCTACAACCTCACCTATACATATACAAGTCCAGTTACTTGACTAAGGTACAAATTAGACACTGCTATAAGTACGTAGTAACCAGGACTGGCTTCTTCTCTAGCTATACACTAGGGCCCAACTAGGTACGACTTACTAGGTCTCTTCACCATAATCAGTGGTCCAGCGAGGCCAACTCCCATCCTCAACTCGAGGTACATTCGCCCATCAAATCCAATGCATAGTTAGTGCCTCGCTCATTGGTACAGTGAGGGTCTCACCTGTCATACCTTATTGACTATTTGTTATGTCACCTGAGGAGTGCTCCCTGGCAATACGCTAGAGGGTATTTACGCCTGCGTGCCAATTCATAGTTAAAGCCTCTCTGGCCACTTGGCGTCTAACTAGGTCAGCAAATTCATCTTCTGTTAATACAATTTCGCCTGGCATTAGCTACGGACAGTCCACCATTTCACTTCACCTATCATTAACGCTATGTTACATTTTGTCTATGCTTCCTACTTAGAATGTCCAACGAGTGCATTCAAGGTGATGACCTATTATTACCTAGTACCCTGCTAGGAACGATTCTCCCTCCAGGCAAGGGGACTCAGCAAGAACTAGTTCATAAAGATCATGGACTATTACGGCTAAATTAAAGATAACAAATATAGCCTACCCACGCACGGTAAGGAAGGTTGAATTGTTTAGACTGTTAAGGTCTCAGGCAGACTCTGGAACCCCTGGTCCCAGTTATGAAGGAGTTGTTTGGCTGACCTGCACTGCGTAATTACTAATTTGGTGCGAGTGTTGGAGTGCAGGGTAATACTCTTATGGTTGCTAACCAGCCCTCAGCCTCCACTAGTAACATAATCATGCCAGCCCATCTAGTTATTTTGATGCTGAGAAAGGACATCTTGGAGGGCAAAGATGTCAACCTGGTGTCCTTGCTCGTAGCATCACAGGACGTCATTGACAACAAGTAATACTCATTTGGTGACTTGTCTGTTGTAGTGAATGCACAGGACTCTAGGCTCAACAAAATACTATCTATCCCAGAGTTTGTTTTAACATTTGGGTTGTTTAAGGATGTAATATGTTCAGTTTTTTCCCAAAGACGTGAAGAGTTCGACTTGTACTTGCACAAGCTGGTCGACCTCAGGCATAAGTACGGCGCATTCGCGTTTTTTTTTTTACTATCACAAGTCAATTTCCGCAAAGGTAGCCGCCGCACTTTCCCAGGTCAGTATTAAAACTGATTGGAGTTCCCTTAATGCAGAACTATTTTGTAGACATTTTGCAGGTCTAAAAGTGCCAGCTTGTGCAGTTTGCTCGTCATCCATTTTTGCAACGAATCTATGCCCTTATGCATCAGTTTTTCGATATAGTTCTGTTTCGATTGTTCCATCGAATAATATCTTGATGTTCAGGTCTAAAAAGACTAGTTGTTCAGCGTCAATTACATGGGTCAGTTTGAGACCTGTTGTGTTGTAATTGAGTAATGTGACCAATTCTTCAAACTGAGTGATAGAACCCAACCAAAAGACCAAGATATCATGAATATATCTGTGCCAACTGTAAATACAGGTCTGATATTTATCTTCTATGGTTAATTCCAAAATAGTTTGCTCCCACCAGCCCAAGTACAGGTTTGCATAGCTAGGAGCACATGCTGTGCCCATAGTAATGCCCCTGAGTTGAAGGTAATGAATTCCATTGAATACAAAAAAGTTGTGTGTAATTACATATTCCAACAGTTGAATGATAAAGTCGCTTTGTGTTGAGGTGAATTTGTATGATGTGTATAGGAAATATCTAGTTGCCATAATCCCTTTTTCATGGGGGATGTTATTATAAAGTGCTACAACATCTAGAGATCTTCCAGCAAAATGAGTGTTTGCTTTGTATCTTGGAGGTAAGATTTTAAAGTAATCACCAACGGATGTAATAGTTTCTCAAGATATTGACAACTTCTTTCCATGATGGAGCCATTCCCAGACACTATTGGTCTCCCTGGTGGATTACTGATGTTTTTATGTATCTTTGGAAGGCAATACAGAGTGGCAATGGTCGGGGTCAGATGTGGTAATATGAATCTATATTCCTCTTTTGTTATGATTTTATTCTCTAATGCCGGTTCCAAAATACATTTAAGTTCTTTTAGGTAGTGTGTGGTAGGGTTATTAGGTAATTGCCTGTATGCTGATGAATCCCTAAGATGTTCCATACACATCTCTATGTATTGTTCTCTGTCCATTATGACCACATTTCTGCTTTTATCAGAGGGTTTGATAATGATGTTAGTTTCAATGTTTAATTCCTTAAGAGCCCCTCCGTTGCTGTATGGGAAGATTGTCTTGTTCAATTTTGGGAGCGGTAAGAGATTCAATTGCAGATGTGGTCATCTGGATGAAAAGATCAACACTAGACACTTCAGTTAAATTAGGGGTGAACCAGCTTTCGGGTTTTAAATCCGTAAGTGCTGGTTCTAAATTTTGTTCCTCAAGTAATGATAATAACGTTTGATGAAGTTGGAACTCATCATAGAGGATACCTATTTCTTTGGCTGTTTTTTGGTCCTTTCTTTTGTGCACTACATTGAGGGCTAATTTACGGCCAAAAAGGTCAGTATCTTTTTTACCTACAGGCACGCTGGAATGTGACAACCTACTATCCATATTAGATCACTGTAATGATATTGATGTTACAAAGTTTTGGAGTCCAGTAGCCAGATCAGCAATGTTTTCTGCCAGAGGTAGCCACTCGTTACCCAGGTGGTTGAGCCCCTGAGCCTTGAGTGGCCTTCTGGTCTTAAGCAGAGATGGGAGACTGGAACAGAAAGATGATAATCGTAGTGAGGCAAGCCGAGGTCAGTGGGAAGGAGAAGCAGCAAAGTCAAAACAGTCCAAATTCAGCAACAGGAAGGAGAAACAGGAACACGCTGATTAGAGAGTACAGGAACCACAATAATCTGGCAAAGGTACAGAGACAGGAAGTGGCTTTTATAGGCCAAGAACCAGACACCTGACCAGACACAGCTGAAGTGAGTTGTCACTGATAACCTTGACTCTACAAGCAATGGTATCAGATCTCAGGTAAATTTGCAAAAGGCAGGCTGGTGTACTGGTAAGGAAAAGGTTTAGCACCATGTAAACCAGGGTTCGAAACCCAGCAGAGTTAGTTCCTCAAATTAACTCCACCTCTACAGGCGCAGCCTCTGGATGCCCTATTTCCTGGTTTAGCAGGGTACTGTGCATGGAAAGACTGAAGAAGATCAGGAGCATGAATATTGTCCACTGGTTCCCATGATCTATCCTCCTCACCATAGCCTTTCCAATGAACCAAGTATTGAAGCTTGTTGCGGAAGATCCTGGAGTCAAGAATTTTTTCCACCTCGTATTCATCTTCACCATCCACGAGGACTGGTGGTGGGGCAGGCAAGGCTCGACCAGGGAAAGTATTTTCATGAAAAGGTTTAAGCAGTGCCACGTGAAACACCAGATGTATTTTCATGGAATCCGGAAGTTGCAGACGGAAGGTGACTGCATTGATCTGAGCGATTATCTTAAAAGGTCCCATGAACTTTTGACCCAATTTATGAGAAGGAATCCTAAGCTTAAGATTCTTTGTTGACAGCCAAACCTTGTCACCAACATGATAAACTGGGGCCTCCTTTCTGTGCCTATCAGCAGCTCTTTTGTAACATTCCTGAGCCTCCGAAAGAGTCTCCTTCAACAGTTCTTGGGAATCTCGTAAGGCGGTTAGCCGGTCAGTGACTGCAGGAATGGGAGTAGTAATTGGGAGACTCACTAGAAAGGTTGGATGGTAACCATAATTGGCAAAAAATGGGCTCAGAGAAGTGGAGCAGTGTTGGGCATTGTTATAGGCAAACTCCGCCGTGGGTAGAAAATCTAGCCAGTCATCCTGCAGGTAACTAATATAGCACCGCAAATATTGTTCTAAAGTCTGGTTGGTTTGCTCAGTCTGTCCATTACTTTGTGGATGAAAAGCTGAAGACAGATTTACATTAATACCTAGAATAGAACAAAAATATTTCCAAAAATGAGATGTAAACTGCACTCCCCTGTCAGAAATTACTTCATCAGGCACTCCATGCAAGCGAAATATTTCCCGAATAACAAGGTCAGCAGTCTGTTTAGCTGAAGGGAGACCACGAGCTGGTATGAAATGACTCATCTTGGTTAACCAGTCCACAACAACAAGAATAGTAGTGTGTTCCTTAGAGGGAGGTAGTTCCACAATAAAGTCCATGGATATAGATCCCCAGGGACGATGAGGAATCGGAAGAGGCTGAAGCAAGCCAACAGGGGATGAGCGAGGAGTCTTATGTCTGGCACATACATCACAAGAGGACACATACTTCTTAACATCCTCATAATATTTAGGCCACCAAAAGGATCGGGTAAGTAGTTCTTGTGTCTTTCGGATTCCTGGATGACCTGCTGGTTTAGAGTCATGGTAGAGGTGTAAAACGTCCAGTCGCACTGATTCTGGAACAAACAGACGTTGTTGAAAAATCCAAAATCCATTAAGCATGGTCATATGAAGATCACGAGGAGGATCACGAAAAACTGGATCTTTAGAGTAGCCCTTTTTAATGCGAGACATTAGATCAGAAGGAAAGGTAACTCCTAAAAATCTGCTCTCCGGCAAGATGGTGGCCTTGGTTACTGTAGTATGGAGGGGGTCAGCTATCCTAGACAAGGCATCCGCCTTGCCATTTCTGGAACCAGGGCGGTATGAAATAAAAACATTAAACCTTGAGAAAAATAGGGACCAGCGTGCTTGTCTAGCTGACAGTCTCTTAGCGGATTGGATACATTCTAGATTTTTGTGATCTGTGAGGACAGTAATTGGATGGGTGGCTCCCTCCAAGAGATGTCTCCATTCGGTGAAGGCAGCTTTTATAGCCAAAAGTTCTTTATTCCCTATGTCATAATTTCTTTCTGCTGGTAACATCTGGCGGGAATAGAAGGCACATGGATGTAACAACATCTTAGGTCCAGTCCTTTGAGATAGTATAGCCCCAACAGCTGAATCAGAAGCATCTACCTCTACAGTAAATGGCAATTCTGGCTGAGGATGCACCAAGATAGGGGCAGATGTAAACAGAGTCTTTAACCTGGAAAATGCAGTGTCATCCTTATTGGACCACTGAAAAGGAGTCCCTTTACGTGTAAGTTCAGTGATCGGTGTAATAACGGCAGAGAAATTCTTAATGAAACGCCTGTAAAAATTGGCAAACCCCACAAATCTCTGTATATCTTTTTCATTCTTGGGGATGGGCCAGTCCAGCACAGCTTTAATTTTACTTGCGTCCATACTTAAACCTTTAGGAGTTATTACATACCCCAGGAACTGAATTTCTGTTTGTTCAAACTCACATTTTTCCAGTTTAATGTATAGGTGGTGGGTACGAAGGCGCTCAAGAACAATGCAGACCTGTTTTCTGTGATTTTCAAGATTATCAGAAAATATCAGGATATCATCCAAATATGCCACAACAAACTGATCCAGGAGATCCCGTAGTACATCATTGATTAGATGCTGAAAAGTTGCAGGGGCATTACAAAGCCCAAATGGCATTACTAGATATTCGTAATGTCCGTACCTGGTTCTGAAAGCTGTTTTCCATTCATCATTTGGTCTTATGCGAACCAGATTATATGCCCCCCGTAGATCAAGCTTCGTAAATATTTTAGCTGAACGAAGTCTCTCCAGAAGTTCAGGAATGAGAGGCAAGGGATAACGGTTTTTAACAGTGATTTTATTAATGTCCCTGTAATCGACACATGGTCATAGACTGCCATCTTTCTTTTTTACAAAGAATATAGGAACTCCTGCTGGAGAAGTGGATGGTCGAATAAAGCCTTTGGCAAGATTTTCTTGTATGTATTCACGAAGTGCTTTCAATTCAGGCTCAGAAAGGGAGTATATACGGCCAAATGGGATAGCAGCTCCAGGTAGCAGCTCTATGGGGCAATCATAAGGCCTGTGAGGTGGAAGCTGATCAGCATTCTTCTTATCACAGACATCTGCAAAATCCCGATATTGTAGCGGAAGCTTGGTTAAGTTTGTAGCAACCATTTCATTAATTGTTGTGGTAACAGGTGTCGCCTTAGAGGGTTGACAATTCATTAAGCAGTGTTCTGAAGGAAAGGACAAAGTTCTAGTCTTCCAATCAATCTGTGGGTTATGCAGAGCAAGCCAGGGTATACCCAAAATCACTGGAAACTGTGTTGAGGAAATTAGGTGGAAAGATATAGACTCATGGTGATTCACTTCCAGAATCAATTTTAAGGGCACAGTCTCATGTGTAACCGGGCCTGACGTAAGTGGAGAACCGTCTACTGTTTCCATTAACACAGGTGAAGATTTAGGGATAGACTGAATTTTATTTCCTGCTGCAAATTTAATGTCCATAAAGTTTCCGCCTGCTCCGGAATCTATCATAGCTGTAGTTGAAATTTTATTATTACCATATTGCAAAGTGATTGGCACCACCAAATGAGGATGTTGAGTCATCATACCTTCTTCACCCTGAGCCAGAGAAAACAAGGGTTGTGTGACAGAATCCAGTTGGTCTGAAATCTGGGATTGGTGTTGAATCTGTGCACCCTCAGCAGTCATAGCTATTGTTCTTTTAGACTTGTTAGGGCAATTGATGGCATAATGCCCTGCACTACCACAATACAGGCATAAGTTGTGAGTGCGTCGCCACTGTTTTTCTTCATTGGATAATGGCCCTCTTATTAGATCTACCTGCATAGCCTCAGGTTCAGAGTCTGTAGGTGTTTGTGGGGTCGGAGTAGAAATTCTTGAATAGAAAGTAGGAGTAGCACTTGGTTTAAAAGAGCCCTGTCTTTCCAATCTTCTTTCTGAAAGTCTCCGATCAATACGGATAGCCAACCGCACAAATGCATCAAACTCAACAGGAAGATCAACACGAGCTAGCTCATCTTTTATAGCTTCTGAGAGACCCCTTCTGAAGTGGAACCTCTGGGCTGATTGGTTCCAAGTAGTATCAGTAACCCACTGTCTGAATTCAGCAGCATATTCAGCCACAGAGCGCCTCCCTTGATGTAAATGAAGGAGAGTGGCTTCTGCTGTAGCACAGCGATTGGGATCATCAAAAACTAGGCACATGGCCTCAAGAAAGTCTTTTAAATTTCCCAAGATTGGACTGTCCTGTTCCAGAAAAGGGGAGCCCCAGGCCAGGGCTTCATCTTTGAAGAGGGAAAAAATAAATCCCACCTTCTCTCTTTCAGATGGAAAACGGTTAGGTAACATCATGAAATGCAAACGGCATTGATTTAGGAAACCCCTGAATTTTTTGCGGTCTCCTCCAAATTTTTCTGGTAGAGGCAAGCGGGCATCTTGTGCAGGTGTAACAGTAGTAGTAGCAGCAGCCGCAACATCATGTGCCCTGTAGCTGGTAAGCTCACTATGCATTGATCGAACTTCATTTTGCAGTTCAGCTACCTGATCCTGCAGCACTTGAATGGTCTGTGCCTGAGTCTGCATAGTTCTTGCATTAAAAGCAACCTGCTGGGCCAATGCAGAATCTGATCCGACGGTCTCCATGAATGGGCCAGATTATTCTGTAATGATATTGATGTTACAAAGTTTTGGAGTCCAGTAGCCAGATCAGCAATGTTTTCTGCCAGAGGTAGCCACTCGTTACCCAGGTGGTTGAGCCCCTGAGCCTTGAGTGGCCTTCTGGTCTTAAGCAGAGATGGGAGACTGGAACAGAAAGATGATAATCGTAGTCAGGCAAGCCGAGGTCAGTGGGAAGGAGAAGCAGCAAAGTTCGAAACCCAGCAGAGTCAGTTCCTCACAATCACCCACAGTTGGTACACAAACTTATCATGACCGAGGTGAACCAAGGGTTTTTGTTGGGCCCATTCTTTTCATCAACCTTCACATCTTGGAGAACCAACCCCATTGGGGTTGTCATGGGAAAAAACTTACACAAACCTAGACTGATCATTGATTTATCTGCACCACATTCCTCCGCGGTTCCCAGCCTAAACTCACTCATACCTTCTGAAGAGTTTTCACTACATTATGCCACTATCGACCATGCCATAGGTGTCATCATTAAAGCAGGCACAGGGGCATGGTTAAGTAAAACGGATGTAGTGAATGCCTTCAAGTTACTTCCTATGCACCCTTCCCTTTGGTACCTTCACGGCATTAAATGACAAGGGTTATATTATTTCTTCACCCGTCTCACTTTTGGCTCCAAAAGTAGCCCACGTATTTTTGACACATTTGCAGAGGCTTTGTGTTGGTTATTACTTAATGTGTGTAAATTTCCTTCAGTTATTCACTATCTGGATGATTTCCTCACGATTGAGAACAACAAACTCCCCCCAAGTAGTTTGAAACACATGTTGGCTTTGTTTGAATCCCTCACTATCGCAGTCTCCCTGCACAAGACGTTGGGCCCAGACACCAACATTCAAATTTTTGGGGATACAACTAGACACTGTACACATGCAGACTAGCCTCCCTCAGGACAAAATTGAGTGTACCCTGGCAAGCATCGAACACTACCTACTGCAAGGGTGTTGCACCCGGAAAGAACTGCAATCACTGCTGGGGTCGCTCAACTTTGCAATGAGGATCATTCCACAAGGTAGATCTTTAATTTCACATCTACTATCCCTATTTCCACAATTCACCTCAGACACTTCACGTATCACGTTAGACCACCACGCAACCTCTGATTTACGTATGTGGGTTTTTATCTCAGCTCTTGGAACGGGCGAGCCATGTTTATACCACCCCACTCTGACACCGCACCTACACTGTGGACAGATGCCGCAACAAACACAGGTTTTGCAGCCATCTGGGGAGATCAATGGCTTTGGGGACCATGGCCAACTGAAGTCAAATCACTGCCCAAATTCACCAAGACCTCAGCTTTATTTGAGCTGTACCCAATTGAGGCGGCGGCCATTGCCTGGGGACCACATTGGTCCGGTCACACAGTTAGGTGCTACTCGGATAATATGGCTACATGCCATATTGTCAATAAAGGCCGGTCAGCATCCCTGGTAATTATGAGACTCCTAAAACGACTCACATGGGTAGCGGCCACCTGTCAATTCTTTATCACATGTGTTCACGTTCCGGGGTGCACAAACACTGGTGCTGATCACAAGTCTCGATTTCGTTTTCAGGATTTCTTCATGACACTACCCTCCGCTTCCAGACTGGCAACTCCTGCCCCACATTTCCGAGACATGATAATGGATTAAAGGCTTTGTTAGATCACGCACGTCACATTTCTCACCTCGCACTTTCAGTAAACACTAGGACACATACGACAGGGATTTTCACGTATTCAAGAAATTCATCACTGAATTCCACATCCACGACATGTTCACGTTAGAATCAATATTGGGTTTCACTTCTTTTTGCCACATCAACCTTAAATTATCATTCAACACTATAAAGCTGTACATTACGGGCATTCAACACCACATGCTTATCCAACAACCCAACGCTACAGGTTTCCTGACCTCATATCAAATTCAGACAGTACTTAAAGGCATTAAAAAATTGGACGCACACGTCCCCTCACAAAGACTTCACATAGACAACAGCATATTCCATTCACTAATCAATTTATTAGATTCTTCTCCTTTCGAACCCATAACTAATACCGTAATAAAGACAGCTATATATTTAGCTTTTTATGGGTTCCTCCGACCCAACGAATTCACGACTAGGACCATTACAACCTCCAACTACCTAAGAACTATGGACTTGCAAAAACATAACAACCATTACTTACTATTTTTAAAACAATCAAAAACCAGCACCATAGGTCATACTATTGAAATCCCCTTGAATCCTACCCATAATAAATGGTGCCCAGTACAAGCCTTTGACGCTTATTTTCTTTCACTCCACAAACAACCTCTACAACCTTTGCTCGAACTGCATGGAAACATTCTGACTACAACAAACTTTATGCTTTATGTACAACTACTGTTGACTAGGCTCGGCCTAAACCCCAATAATTTCTCAGGTCACTCTTTCCAAATTGGGGCAGCATCTACAGCATCTGCTAATCACGTACCCACTCACATTATCAAGGTGATGGGTTGCTGGAAATCCTCCGCCTACACACTCTACATACCTAATCCTGTTAAAGAATTAAGACCAGCTTTCTGTGACTTATCTAAATAAATAAAGCTGGTTAACCGTATTACATCTTATGGTATTTTCTTTTGCCCACTTTTATTACAGGCCTACTGCTTTGTCGGTTCCGGCCCACCACAACCAACTGGTTCCAACTCATTGATGTTATGGTTATTATATGCTAGATTTCTGTATACGACTATATTGCCCCGTCTACAAATATATATATAATTTTATTCTAACGATATTTTGATAATATATATGCCATTCTGGGGTCAAGAAGGATTTTTTTTCCTAGCTTGTTTCAAAATTGTGCTTCAAACTGGTTTTGAAGCAAGTCTGAACTTGATGGACGCAAGTCTCTTTTCAGCTATGTAACTATGTAACTATATATTTATATCAAAATACACTTATAATGAAATTATATATATATATATATATATATATATATATATATATATATATCTGTTTATATAATATATTTTTTATATTATGTACTTATTAGGCTGCCGCCTTTTGTATCACACAGCTAGGTTTTCAATGCTGCCGCCCATCCCATGTGTTCCCTATCAAGGGTTAATAAGTCTATAGGTGTATAGGGTGTATATAAAAAAAATACCCCTTTCTGTCTCATTAGAGATATCTTTGCCAGAAGCTCAAGGAAGCAAGGTGAAGGGTCAGAGTAGGACCCGTCTATGGGGGTCTGCCTTGATGTTGGCAGGTGGGCATTCCCTCCATCCCTCCTGCCATTGGAGTAACTAAATGACCTCCATTCATTTAAATATACATAGGGATTAAGGAGAGAGTGCAGGTAACTTTTTTCCTTTGGTTTTTACTATATGTATTGGAGCTGAATTGTACTGCTCAACAAGGTTCCTGATGAAAGTCCCAAACGTCGACTGAAACGTTGAGCAGCTATTTTTAAAGATGGATGAATAAAGTTTACAACTTTTAATTACCTATTGGAATCCGTGAGTGCTGGTCATCTTCTCTATCTGGTATCCCCCAGATTACAAGCACCCGGTTTAACTACTTTGGAGCCAGTGTGCAAGGAGATTGTGGAATATATATATAATATATATAGTTTGAATCTAAAAAAGTGAGAAATTAAGATTTTTATTTTTTTTAAATGTTTAGTTCTGCATGGCATTTTAACTGTGAATGTCATAATACCGGGTTAAATATTTTTATTCATAATGAATTATGTTTTTATATATGAATAGTTCATGTGAAAAGAAAGTGCTGTTTCTCCTGAACAAAATTATATATAATAAATGTGGGTGCACTTAAAGGACCACTATAGTGCCCTGAGGGTGCCCCCGCCCGGCTCTGGAAGGGGGAAAGGGGTAAAAACTCACCTTTTTCCAGCGCTGGGCGGAGAGCTCTCCTCCTCCGATCCTCCTCTTCTCCTCCCTGTCGGCTGAATGCGCACGCGCGGCAAGAGCTGCGTGCGCATTCAGCCGGTCACATAGGAAAGCATTCATAATGCTTTCCTATGGACACTGGCATGCTCTCACTGTGAAAATCACAGTGAGAAGCACGCAAGCGATTCTAGTGGCTGTCAATGAGACAGCCGCTAGAGGGAATGGGGGAAGGCTTAACCCATTCATAAACATAGCAGTTTCTCTGAAACTGCTATATTTATGAAAAAATGGGTTAACCCTAGCTGGACCTGGCACCCAGACCACTTCATTAAGCTGAAGTGGTCTGGGTGTCTAGAGTGGTCCTTTAATATGAAAAAGGTGAATAATGATTGAACAGACATATAGCGCAAATTCCAGTTTTTTTTTTTTACCTTGTTTTGATCACAACGTGAACAGCTGGCTCAGTCCTTAAGGGGTTAAACATGTTTACCATGCCACTTATTTAACTTTCTCTTACAGTGATATGTGGTTCCTGGTTTGATCATTTCAGAGGCTGGTACATCAACAAGGAGGAGTTTAATGTACTTTTTATGACATATGAAGAAATGAAAAAGGTTGGTGATTGTTTGTTTATAAAGAAATGCATTTAATTTGTATACATCCAGTCTAAAATGTGCCTATTAAATCTCATGTAACTCACTTCACGTAAACCTCAATATAGTCATTCTCCAATGATTTCATTACTTATTACGTTTTGTTGTTTTTGATTTTTTTTAATGTATGTGTCCTGTGTCTCTCACAATAATTGAAGGGTTTTTGTTTTTTATACATTCTTTAATTGGGTTGGAAAGGGCAGTTTTAGTTCTGTTTCTTCTACCTTCACTTTTGTATATTTTATATTGAGAATTAGGGGTTTTTTTTCCATTAAATTCTTTCCCCAAGAGATTTCTAAAAAGAGAGAATCAAGATCTCATTCTTCAGATGCAGCCTTCATTATCTATATAAAGCTTTGTGAAGACTGTTGTGTATCTAATTTACTTTTTGGTTTGTATGGAATCCATTTATGGTCAGATTATAGAATTCTGAAATTAATTTTACATCTTTCTCACTTATTAAATTGTACACATAAATAACATCTATTGATTTGAAAATTCCCATATGAGATATAACTAATTTCCCTAGAATTTGTCAAAAATAATAATTTACATTGTATAGTTTTCTTTAAAGGGTCCCTCTAACCACCATGGCAATCTTGCATGATTGCAAAGTTTTAATGTAGAGAGAACATCACATCCATCCTGCTGAGATTTCATTGAGTCTAAGAAAGCAAACCAATTGGATCACTTGTGGGGTAATTCCTTTGATTGCAATTTACACACTATGTATTTGTGTATGGTAAACACAGCTTTATCAGCATTAGACAGCCTTCTAAAATCTTTTATTTTTTTAATTTGAAATTAAATTCTGTTTGCTGTGTATACTTACTAAAATATGTTTTTCTCATATGTTGAGGTATATTATTCCCTGTATGTTCTGTCTCTGTATGTGTGCAGAGTTTGCATTGGTCTGTACTCTCTCAATATAAGCCAGTAATGTCCTAAGCTTCTCTTTTCAAAGGATCTGCGATCAGCAGTAATGAAAATATGCAGTTTTTTGGGCAAAACACTTGATGATGAAGCAGTGGATACTGTGGTGGAAAAAGCCACATTTAAAAACATGAGACATGACCCACTGGCAAACTATACATTTTTACCTCAAGATATCATTGATCAAAGCAAAGGAAGTTTTCTTCGTAAAGGTACTGGTACACATTTATTTATAGTCACCTATTTACATACTCATACAGCATAAATATGCCCTATTGTGACCCCTCTGTCATGCCCCCCTCCCCAACATGGTGCAGAATTTTTTTTTTTTAGATACATAAATGAGAAAAGGAAAGTAAAACAAGGATTAGTTAGATTAAAAACAGAAGGAAGGTATGTAGAAGAGGATAGGTCTGACTGTCTCAATGAATATTTTTTGTTCAGTATTTACAGATGAAATGGACCTCAGTTAGGAAAAAGGACAAATTAGTCATTTATTACATGTGAGTTTACAGAGGAAGAGGTTCTATTTCAACTGTCAAAAGTAAATACAAATAAGTCAATGGGGCCTGATGGAATACACCCAAGGTTATTAAAGAGCTTAGTGGTGTACTTAATGGATTTATTTACCCAATCATTGTTAACAGGAGTAGTCCCAGAAAGTTGGGAGTTAGCAAATTTTGTGCCCATTCACAAGAAAGGTAACTGAGGCCTTACTTCAGTAGTGGGGAAATAATGGAAACCATGTTAAAGGATAGGATTGTTGAACATCTAAAATTACATGGATTCAAGATCAGAGACAACATGGGTTTACTTCAGGGAAATCATGCCAAACTAATCTTATTTTTTTTTTTTTTTGCTTGGGTAACTAAAATAATAGATCAGGGTGGTGCAGTAGACATTGCTTACCTAGATTTCAGTACATAAAAGGCTTATCAATAAACTGCAATATTTAAGTTTGGATTCCAATACTGTTGAATGGGTAAGGCAGTGGCTGAGTGATGGGCAACATAGGATTGTAATCAATGGAGTATATTTGAAGCATGGGATTGTCACCAGTGGGGCACCCTAGGAATCTGTACTTGAACCCATTCTCTTTAATATTTTTATCAGTGATATTGCAGAAGGTTTTGATGTTAAGGTATGTCTTTTTGCTGATGATACTAAGATATGTAACAGGGTTGATGTTCCAGGAGGGAAAGGTCAAATGGCAAATTATTTAGGTCAACTAGAAAAATGGTCAGAGTTATGGCAGCTTTGCTTATAACTGCAAGAGAATGCATCTTGAACGTAAGAACCCAAGGGCAGAGTACAGAATATTTGATAGAGTCCTAATCTCAACATCTGAGTAAAGAGATTTAGGAGTAATTATTTCAGATGACTTAAAGGTAGGCAAACAATGTAATAGAGCAGCAGGAAATGCTAGCAGAATTATTGGTTTTATAGGGAGAGGTATTGGCAATATAAAGAGGGAAGTGCTCATGCTATTATGCAGAACACTGGTGAGACCTCACTTGGAGTATTGTATGCAGTACTGGAGACCGTATCTCGAGAAGAATATTGATACTTTAGAGAAAGTTCAGAGAAGGGCTACTGGTTCATGGATTGCAGGGTAAAACTTACAAGGAAATGTTAAAGGAACTTAACATGTATAGCTTGGAGGAAAGACGAGACAGGGGAAATGATAAAAGCATTTAAATAAATAAATAAAGGGAATCAACACAGTAAAGGAGGAGACTATATCTAAAAGAAGAAAAACTACCACAACAAGAGGACATAGTCTTAAATTAGAGGGGCAAAGGTTTAAAAATAATATCAGGAATTATTGCTTTACTGAAAGGGAAGTGGATGCACAGAATAGCCTTCCAGCTGAAGTGGTAGAGGTTAACACAGTAAAGGAGTTTAAGCATGCGTGGGCATAAAGCTATCCTAACTATAAGATAAGGCCAGGGACTAATGAATGTATTTAGAAAATTGGGCAGACTAGATGGGCCGAATGGTTCTTATCTGCTGTCACATTCTATGTTTCACATTCTATATTAAAAACCCCTTCTGTATCTTACTTAAGTCCAGCTTGTTCAGGCTCTGCCTCTGCTCCTGCACATGTTCATCAATGGTCGTGCGTGCATTAGCGTGTATAGCTACATGATGCTGGATGTCCTTTTGTGAAAGATATGGTGTACGTGGCTAGCTATCTGTAGGATCCATCATTTGCAGTCAAAGGATTGTAGGCTCAGGGTAATAGAAACCAGTGGTGTTGCTATGGAAATTGAGGAGTGGGCATAGATATGCAGTTTTGCCCAATCTTAAACCTCCAGCAGAAATCTGGTCATGGGGAAGATCTCTACATGGAAGGTCTTTTGTGTCTTGGGATCCAGAATAAGAAACGTATGCCCTTTTGTCATGACCAGCAGAACTCAATGCTCTCCCATTGTGATGGCTTAGGCTCAGTATATTGGGATGTACCAGAATTTTAGATGCCATGATCATTTTTCTGTTTTGCCATACTAATCTGCCTAGTATAAATTTATGTGAATTCAGATACTCCACCAGTAGAGGTGTCTGTAGTGTTTTCAGAAGGTACTCTAATTTTGGGAGAATTAACATTTTAGCAGCTGCTATATATCCCAGTGATTTTATGATTTGCCCTGCCATGACTGAAGAGTAGATGCTATTTGGTCAGTTATGCATAATTCAAATTAAAGAGGTCTTTTAGATTTCTTACGATTCTGATCCCCCAGAGAGTTATGCAATCAAACCCAAAGGCCTGCAGGAAATGGGAGACTGCAGTAGAAAGTATTCCCACACCCATGGCTTGTGTTTTGTTCATATCTAGCTTATAGTAGGACTGTTTACTATATTCTTGGATCTATTTATGTAAATTTGGTAGGGAAGTGAGTGACTGCATTATGGAGAGTAAGATATAATCTGCAAACAATATTTATGTGTATTCTCTTTACCCCATCACAATCCACCAAATGGATCTGCTCTATTTGAAGCAGCCATGGGTTCTAATACTAACATGTAAAGCAACTGTCATGCTCCTGAGCAGGTCAAAGAGGAGACGATTGCAAGGGTTATTGGTTAAAACATTGTCGTATTAGACATAATAAATTTACTGAAAATAAATAATAAAGGGCAGTCTGCCACAAACAGGATACTTTGTGAGAAAAAACAGGGTTTGGTGATATGCCACAAACAAAATCTTTAGAAAGTAAATGAATAAAGTCTTTTGTATACAAGCAAGCTTGAAGTTATACCAACTAGTTAAGGATTTCCAGGATACTTTGCAATGTAGCTAGTTATAGGTAAATACCTTTTAGGATAAGACAATACAGGATCATGCAGAGTTGTAGAGGTTGAAACAGGTAGGTATATTCCAAAATAATATAATGCAGGTTGCTTACAAGATCATGCAGTGATGCAGCAATTGAAGCAGTTAAGATTCTTCGATGAAGGCAATATGCCACAAATCAGGATTCTTGGAAGCTGATAAGGAAAGTCTTTCGGTAAGATGTAGTTCAGGCAAATTCAGGAGTAATGCAGGTTAGTGCCTTTCAGGAACAGAGATTCTTTATCAGAGCATAGACTTCAATGTCAAGGCACTGTTATGTGCCGGCCGTAGACTTATCAAGCCTCCTAATTAGTTAATCCAGGTGAGGTTATTAAGGTGAGTGAATAGATTAGTGGCTAGGGAGGCCACTAGAGGAGAAAATCATGAAGTTCACTTAAAGGGCCAGTAATAAACGAAAAAGTCTTACATGTCAGTTTTGAAACCTGACGGCACAGGGATAGGGGTCATCCCTGTCTTCTGACAATGGGTTGGGGGTGGGGTTGCCCAACTTAGGTAAAGTCGGTCACTACATCTTCTAACAGTACTGAGTGTAAAAGCGGAGTATGAACTATAGTATTAAATAAGGCTGCCATATGTGGGGTTGAGTATCTACGGGTATTTTTTATAATAGGTGTTAGAGAAACCATCGGGCACTAGGACTTTTCTATCTGGTAAACATTTTTATGGCGCCAATCACCGCAAATGTAACTATTATGGCGCCATCTGATTTGCCTGTTTTGTTGTCAATGTTAGGAGAATTACTGAGTATAGGTACTGTTGTACCCAGAGGCATAACTAGAAACCACGGGGACCCTGTGCGAATATTGCCCTGCCCCCCCCCATATGTCTCACCTCTCTAGTAAGACAGAATTGGAGCGTTTAACGAGATAGAATGAGTATGGCAGGGTGAAAGGGAGTGGGTGTGACAGAGTGATAGAGAAAATGCACGGCAAGATTGGGGGTGAGTGTGATAGTGCCAGAGAAGGTGAGTGTGATAGAGTGAATATGGCAGCAATGGGAAGGGAGTATGGCATGGTTGAGTGACAGGATTGGGGGAGTTATTGTGAGTGTAGCAGGGTGAAGGGGGATGACAGTGTGTGTGGTGGGGTGACAGTTACACAGACACACAGGTGCATTCACTAACACACATGCAGACAGTGGCGTACATACCAGGGTCGCAGGGGTCGCAGCTGCGACCGGACCCGGCCCACCAGGGGGCCCGGCCGCCCCTGCGACCTGGTATGTACCCACAGGGCCAGCCTCTTCTCCTGGGGGACCCAGGAGCCGGCCACCTCAGGGCCCCCCTGAGGCTGGCCCTGCTGACCCCGGCGGGCGGGCTGGCTGTCTGGGTGGCCGGCGCGCGAGGGAGCACTCTCCCCTGTGTGCTTCCTCTTCACCTCCCTCGCGCACCGCACTGATATCGGAGCCGGAAGATGAATTCATCTTCCGGCGCCGGCATCCCTATGCGGCGCGCGAGGGAGCTGAAGAGGAAGCACACAGGGGAGAGTGCTCCCTCGCACGCCGGCCACCCAGGCAGCCAGCCCGCCCTCCCAGCAGCACCACTGGACCCCAGGGAACCCCCCCCCCAGCTCTCCAAAAGGTAAGGAGGCTGGGGGATTAAATTTTTTTTTTTTTTAAATGTGTGTGTGTTAGTGTGTGTTTGTGTGTGTGTTTGTGTGTTAGTGTGTGTGTGTGTGTTAGTGTTTGTGTGTATGTTAGTGTTTGTGTTAGTGTTTGTGTGTGTGTGTTAGTGTGTGTGTCAGTGAGTGTTTCTGTTATTGGGTGTGTGTCTGCTAGTGAGTGTGTTACTGTGTGTGTCTGTTACTGAGTGTGTTTGATGTCTGTTAGTAAGTGTGTGTTTGTCAGTGAAAGTGTATGTTTTGTAAGTGAGTGTGTTTGTATGTCTGTCACTGAGTGTGTCTCTGTCAGTAAATGTGTGTGTCTGTTTGCTAGTGTGTATGTGTCTGTTCGTGAGAGTGTGTGTGTGTGTGTCTTCAGCATCTACCTTTCTCCAGCGTCGGACTCCATTGGCTCTGGGGATCCCTCCGCCTCTCAGCTCCGAATGCACATTACTCAATGCTTTCCTATGGACGTTCAGTGTCTTCTCACTGTGATTTTCACAGTGAGAATCGCGGAAGCTCCTCTAGCGGCTGTCAATGAGACAGCCACCAGAGGCTATGTTTTCAGCTGCAGGGTTAAAACTAGAGGGACCTGGCACCCAGACCACTTCATTGAGCTGATGTGATCATTGACAGCTACTAGAGGAGCTTCCGCGATTCTCACTGTGAAAATCACAGTGAGAAGACACTGAACGTCCATAGGAAAGCATTGAGTAATGCTGGGGCATGATCTGACCATGACAAATGGCCTATGTAGCAATCCACTATTTGGTTGAGAGCTGAGTCAGGGACAAAGAAGCGGTCAATCCTGGAGTAGGAAATGTGGACTTGGGAGAAATAAGTGTATTCCTTGGCACCTGGCTTTAACATGCGCCAGACATCTTTTAAGTTATGTGTTGTGAGTAATTTATTCATTATTTTACTTTGATGAGTTATCCTTCTGAATCTCGAGGAGGATTAAAGTAACGTGAAGTCTAAACCAGGATGAATTATGTGATTTATGTTACCACATATTACTGTAATAATGTATAGAGGGAGATACCTTGGCCAGTAGTTTAAGGAGAAAATGTCTTTGATCGGTGTTCGTACCATATATATTAATAATAGTATAGGTCACATTATTAAGTGAGCAGTTTAGGAGCAAGAACCTAATCTCTAGGTCGACCATTTTGTTATTTAGTGCAAAGGCTATTATTTTGCTAATAAGAATGGAAACTTATTTGATAGCTGGTGGTGGCATGAAAGGAATGGGTGTCATGGACAAACTAATCTATAGCCTGGTGGGGCCAATCTTAGTAGACATGAGCATCCTGTGGAGATGTTCACCTGCCAAGGTACACTTCTAAGAATTGGGGACTTGTACATTCACCACATGGGATGGGCATAGGGCCCGCAAACTTGGATAGCATCAATAATAATATTGAGGCCGCCCACAAGGCCCATTAAACTAAGTAAAAGAGAAACCGTAAAATTAGTACAGCTAGAAAGCTGAGAACTCTGATGTTGGGTGCTGTACCACTTATGGGTACGTTGGAGAGTGTTCAGTCAAGAGAGCCTCCTAATCTTGACTCAGTCCCCCATTATGAGTGTCTGAAAATTACCTCTGTGGAAGATCCCTACTATGTAATGGTGCCATTTGGTTTTTAAGCCAACTAACACTGTAGATTTTATTTTGTGTATATGCATATGAAATGTATATGTTTTTTTTAAGCCCACTAACACTGTCAATTTCATTTTATCTATATGCATATGAAATGTAATATGATTTGTAAAAAGTTTTTTTTAAATTTAAAAAAAATCTCTACCTAATTAAATGTACACCTGATAAGGAGGCTTCGCTGATCCCACATGACAAGGTGTTCAGAAATTACTCCTCGCCTTAATTGGCACAATAGTGTATGGTAGGCATGTGCATGGGGAAAATATTCAGCTTGGTTCGGCATTCCGAAATTCGGGACTTCGTTAATTCGGGAATTCGGCACTTCGCCACTTCGGCACTTGAACACTTCGCCACTTCGGAACTTCAGCAACTTCGGCACTTCGGATCTTAGACACTTCGGCACTTCAGCAACTTCAGCACTTCGGGAACTTCGGAAATCTCGTGCATCTCGGGACTTCTCTTGCAGCCGCTTGGTAGATAACTCCCTAATTCCCACGGTATTAGGTAGATATCTACCAAAAGGCTGAAAGACCTTAATTGGTCTTTCAGCCAAATTTACTAATACTAAGTAAAAATTACTTAGTATTAGTAAAGTGTGCCCCTACTCGCTAGTAAATCACTGTTTAAAAAAAAAAAGCGGGTGGGGGCCCTAAATACAAATTGGGGGAGGACCTATTGTCCTCCCCCCTGGCCCCCATCCCTGAGCAGTGGGTGGAGGCCCTAAATACAAATTGGGGGGGACCTATTGTCCTCCCCCCTGGCCCCCACCTCTGAGCGGTGGGTGGGGCCTTAAACAAGAATAAGGGGGACCTAATGTTCTCCCCCCGGCCCCCACCCCTGAGCGGTGGGTGGGGGCCCTAAATACAAATTGGGGGGGACCTAATGTCCTGGCCCCCACCCCTGAGCAGTGGGTGGGGGCCCTAAATGAAAATTTAACCCCCCCTCCCCCAACCCCTAGTCACCCCCTCCCGAAGAAAATAAACCCCTACCAACCCCCCTCACCCTAAAAATAATGAGGGGGACCTTTAACTAAGTACATGTAAAAATAAACATAAACTTACCATTTGATGTTTTCTTTCTTCTAAAATCTTATTTTTTTTAGACCCGAAAAAGGCCAAATAAAAAGCCATAATAACCAACGCAATAAAAAAAAAAAAGAGCGCAAAAAAATAATCCATCTTCACCCATGGAGGGCTCCGCACAGACTGAGCTCTGAAGGGAGGGGGAAGGCTTATAAAGCCTTGCCCTGCCCTGCAATTAGGCTCAGAGCACTCTGATTGGTGGGTTTAAGCCATCCAATCAGAGTGCTCTGACAGGTAAATGAAGAAACTGTGTCATTTTACACAGCGTGGGAAAGTTCTTTGGAATTTTCCCTCGTTGTGTAATTTGACTCATTACACTCTGATTCGTGGATTAAGTAACCAATCAGAGAGTTATGAGTCAAATTACACAGCATGGGAAAATTCCAAAGAACTTTCCCACGCTGTTTAAAATGACACAGAGCACTCTGATTGGTGGATTTCAAACCAACCAGTCAGAGTGCTGTGACAGGTAAATGTAGAGACTTACCTGCTCTGAGCCTAATTGCAGGGTGGGGCAAGGCTTTATAAGCCTTCCCCGACCCTGCAGAGCTCAGTCTGCACGGAGGTGGGGTGGGAGCCAGGACGGAGGACATTAGGTCCCCCCCAATTTGTATTTAGGGCCCCCACCCACCGCTCAGGGTGGGGGCCAGGAGGGAGGACATTAGGTCCCCCTCTTATTCTTGTTTAGGGCCCCCACCCAACGCTCAGGGGTGGGGGCCAGTGGGGAGGACAATAGGTCCTCCCCCCTTTTTTTACTTTAGGGCCCCCACCCGCCGCTCAGGGGTGGGGGCCGGGGGGGGGCAAAAGGATGCTCACTTTGGCACTTTGACACCTCGGAACTTCGGAACTTTGGCACTTCAGCAATTCGGCACTACTACACTTCGGAAATTCGGTAATTTCGGCACTTCGGCAATTCAGCTATTCGTAAATTCGGAAGCACCCGAATGTCTGAATTACCTGAAATTCGGCCGAATTTTCATTCAGACCGAAACAAATTGCACAAGTCTAGTGTATGGGTTTGAGATCAAGAGAGACCCCATTGGCACATAAAGAGTAATAGATGTTTCCTCAAGGGCCTAATAGTTTAACAAATGTTACCATAGCATATCTTTCTCTCCTCAGACCCTCTCTACACACATTTTAAAGTATTACATAGTATAATTGCTCAGTATACTTGCTCCTTCTTCCCATGCTAAAATAAACAGCTCTACATGAAGGGCTTAGTGGCGCTGTCTATTCAAGGTCAGAGTTAGCACTGGGGGGAACCTTCAGGAGATGTATGAGAATCTAGGCCCCATGTATCCAGCAGCTTGAGGGCATTTTCTGGCATGGTCACAATTGTGGCCATTGTGGTATAGCATTAGCTTTACTGGGTATCCCCGTTTATAGGGTATGTGGTGTTGCCTCAGAGTGTCAGTGGTCTACTAAAGCAACATCCTATTTCTCACATCGTAAGATGACATCGTAAGATGACAGGTTGGCATAAATATGAATGTTATTATACTCTGCGGGTAAATCATTCTTGGATCTGCTGGACTTCAGGAAGGACTCTTTGACGTGATGGTAATGTAGGTACAAGTTGTTTAGTCTTTACCAGTCCTCAGAATCTATGAGCTTTGCTTCGTAAACCTAAATCTGTGCTTCCACTTGTTGCAGTCAATAAGCTAGGCTTTTATGAGCTTCTACAAATTCATCTATTATTAATATGACGTGGGACATTCTGGCATCCAGATCCTGTACGTATATTTCCCACAAATTTCTGAAATATTTGTAAAATCTTGTCTCCACCACTCTCCTACTTACATGCGCTTGGGAGGTCCCATCACACCCCCACTATTTCTCAACATTACAGATCAATTTATTAATTATTTCACTCATAAAGACATCTCGGGATGAGGCTGAGGTTTGGAGACTCTGTGTAAGAGTGTAAAACATACCACAGAGGAAGGTCTGCAGATCAGCCTGTTGGACTGTCTCTGGGATTCACTGCAGGTACAAGTTGTTTAGTCTTTACCAGTCCTCAGAATCTATGAGCTGTGCTTCGTAAACCTAAATCTGTGCTTCCACTTGTTGCAGTCAATAAGCTAGGCTTTTATGAGCTTCTACAAATTCATCTATTACTATGACGTGGGACATTCTGGCATCCAGATCCTGTACGTATATTTCCCACAGATTTCTGAAATATTTGTAAAATCTTGTCTCCACCACTCTCCTACTTACATGCGCTTGGGAGGTCCCATCACACCCCCACTATTTCTCAACATTACAGATCAATTTATTAATTATTTCACTTTTCTGATGACATTGCTAAGCCTATTTTCTGGAAATGTTACTGTAAGAATTTTTATGTTAACCCTGTGTAATAATTATTTGTCCCTTTTTAGGCACCATTGGGGACTGGAAAAATATAATGACAGTGGCACAGAGTGAGATGTTTGATCAAGTGTTTGAAGAGAAAATGAAAGATCTAAAAATCAAGTTTACATGGGCTATTGATGAAACCAATTGAATTTTGCCACATTATATTCATATAACTGGTGACAATTTCTAATAAAAAAATATGCAAATAAATTAAAATACATGTTATTTCAGTACTCACCATTTCCTTAAAATTATTTTTTTCAAAACAATGGGATACAATAAGTGAAAACTTCTTAAATTAATAAGTGTTTCAACAATTTTTATGCTGAATTTATATTGAGTGCTTATTTACAAAATAAGAATTATAATAATTAAAATATAAAGGTGTAATTTTATGATAGTGTTAATTTATATATTTGTTTTTTCTTTAAACAAACACTCAAAGTACCATCACACCACTCCAAGATCAATAACCAACTAGTGCCCTCCTAGAGTAAGCAGTCAAACACTTTCAGAACAGTTTGGCAGCTTATCTAGGTCCCCGGGGCACCTGGTCCACATCTGCTTTCTCCTGAGCTAAACATGGCCCTATACAGAATCAAGCTCATTGACTGACAGCCATTGAGAGCATTCATCGCCCTGCTTAGCTCACTGGAGCTAATCGGATTCTCTTTGCAAGATAATGCAGAAACATGGTCAAGAGTCTTGGGATCCAGGTAAGTTGTCAAACTGTTTAAACCATTTGAGGGCAGTAGGGCAGTGCTGGCACCAGCGCCAGCTTAAGATTGTCCAGGGCTGTAGGCAGGATGTCAGATTGGGTCCCCCACCTAGAACCCTGGGCACTTGTATATTAGTGTTGTCTGCAGTGACTGAAGTGTTGAATGTGTGTGGGGGAGTCTGACCAGGGCCGGTACAAGGATTTCTGCCGCCCTAGGCAAAGATCCATTTTGCCACCCTCTCATGAAAGCAAATACAATCTCACAGAGATTTATTCACTAAACTCTGAATTGCAGTGAGTTTGAAACCAAAATCCAAAATTTAAGCAAAAGTAGCTCAACTGTGACTGTAGCCGAATTGGAGAATTCTTTTAGATCAGTTATTTTGGCCTAAATTTTGCCAATATGGTTTCCAGTTAGGTCTGCCTAATATATGCTCAATGTGTACATCCATAAACACACACTGCCTAATACCTACATCCATACAGGGATGTCTTTAACAAGGGGCAAACGGGGCAGTTATTTCTGGGGGGCCCAAGGCAGCTGCCCCGTGGGCCCCTGCCCACAAACAGGATACTGACAAGCCCACCGGGATCCTGAGAAATGTTCCAGTGGGCAGCCACACCTGAAGTAATCAGGGGTCCCAGCCCTTTACTAGTGCTCTGGACGAGGCCCCTATCATTCTGTTTGTTCCACGCGGCATGCTGGGAGGAAGTGAGGTCACATCACTTCCTCCCAAGTAACAGAGAGCCTCGTGGGAAGGAGGAGGTACACACAGGAAGAGAAGGAGGAGAGGGCTGTGTATCTGACTGTGGAGTAGGAGGCACGCACAGAGGAGGATGAAGTGGAGGAGAGGGACTGAGGAAGCCTGGTTCCTCAGACTCCCATCAGTCTTGGCCATCCAACTGCCACTGGACCACTTCTGTAACCAAAAGGTAAGGAGACAGGAGGGTGGATCTAATATGTAAATTGATTCTTATATATTTTGTGTACCTGGGTCTGTGTCAGTGTGTGTATCTGACTGTCTGTGTGTGTGTGTGTGTGTGTGTGTGTGTGTGTCAGTGTGTGTACCTGGCTGTGTGTATATCTGGCTGTATGTGTGTGTGTATCTGACTGAGTTTGTGTAAGTGTGTGTATATGACTTTATGTGTATCTGGCTGTGTTTGTGTCAGTGTTTGTATCTGTCTGAGTTTGTGTTGGTGTGTGTATATGACTTTATGTGTATCTAGTTGTGTGTGTATCTGGCTGTGTGTGTCAGTGTGTGTATCTGGCTGTATGTGTACCAATGTGTCAGTGTTTGTGTGCCTGTGTATCTGTGTGAATGTATAACTGTGTATGTGTACTTGTGCCAGTGTGTATCTATGCATGTGGCAATAGGTTCATTACAGCATAATAATGCCAACACTGCACATAAATATACCCCTGCATTCCAACAACACCACTGTACACAAATACACCACTGGATGAGTACCTGTGTTGGTGTTTGTATCTCAGTGTTTGCGTAAGTGGGCATCTGTGTGTATGTGGCAATGCATACATCTCAGCATTCCAACACTGCACACAGATACACCCCTTTGTGTATCTGAGTGTGTACATATCTGTGTCAGTGTATATCTCTTTGTTTGGATGTGCTAGTGTTTGTATGCGTGTATCTGAGTGTGTGTGGATGTGCTAGGTATATGTGTATATGCCAGTGTGTTTGTGTCGGTGTGTGTATGTGTGTCAAGGTGTGTTCATGCATCAGTGTGATTATGTGTGTATCTGCATGTTAATGTGTATGTATATAGGTGTTTTTTTGTGAATGTCATAATGTTCTTTGCTTTTACAGCAATAAAATACACATATTTGTACTCAGCAATGTCTCATGTGTAAAACAGTACCCCCTATATACAGGTTTTATGGTGTTTTGGGAAGTTACAGGGTCAAATATAGCATGTAACATTTTTCAGTTTTTTTCACATTGAAATTCGCCAGATTGGTTACGTTGCCTTTGAAACCGTATGTTAGACAAGGAATGAGAATTACTCCCATGATTGCATACCATTTGCAATAGTAGACAATCCAAGGTATTGCAAATGGGGTATGTCCAGTCTTTTTTAGTAGCCACTTGGTCACAAGCACTGGCCAAAATGAGTGTTAATATTTGTTTGTGTGTGAAAAATGCAAAAGACTAATTTGAAACCAATTTTGGCCAGACTGGACTAGAGTCACAGCATAAGAGGCTGGCCAGCAGGCTCCTCCTAGAACCAGTGACAAGGTTCAGTTCATCACAATACACACACACAAACACATGCACAGAGACTGCTGAATACACACACACAGACTGCTGAATACACACAGAATGCTGAATACATACGCAGACTGCTGAATACACACACTGCTGAACACACACAGAGAGACTGCTGAATACACACAGACTACTTTACACACACACACACAGACTGCTGAATACATACAGACTGCTGAATACACACACTGCTCTATATACACAGAGATACTACCGAATACACCCAGACAGCTGAATACACACAAACTGCAATGAGGGGTGTATGTGTTTGTGTGTAAGGGTGCTGTGTGTGTGTGTATAACGAGTGCAGTGTGTGAGGGGTGCTGCGTGTGTGTGTGGGGGGGTGCTGAGTGTGTGATGGGTGCTGTGTATGTGTGTTAGAGGCACTGTGTGTGAGGGGTGCTGTGTGTGTAAGTGGCACTTTGTGTCAGAGGTGCTAAAGTGTGTGAGGGGTGCTGTGTATGTGTGTCAGAGGTGCTGTGTGTGTGTGTGTGTGTGAGAGGGGTGCTGTGTGTGTATTTAAAGGGTGCTTTGTGTGAGGGGTGCTGTGTGTGTGTGAGGCACTTTGTATGTGTGTCAGAGGAGCTGTGTGTGAGGGGTGCTGTGTGTGTAAGGGTGCTGTGCAGGGGTGCTGTGTGTGTAAGGGGTGTTGTGCCCTGGTGGTCCAGTGGTGTGTGTAAGGGGTGCTGTGCCCTGGTGGTCCAGTGGTGTTGAGTTGTCTACAGCCTGCAGCTCCTCTGGCTGCAGGCTGTCTTCACTCCTCCCACGAGCAGAATGCTGTGTCGGAGCACTGCCATGGTAACATGCGGCAATGCTATGCACAGATCTTCCTATCACTAACGAAGGTCCTTTTGGCAGGTGAGGGAGATCTTTGACCACAGCAAGATAGCAGGTCTCCTTTGTCTGCCTGGGCTCATGGGCATTACGGTGGGGCCCTCATGCTTATGGAGCCCCTGGGCAAATGTGGAAACATGACCCTGCATACAAGCTCACTCAAAACAGGCTCACTGACACACACAAGCTCACTACAGACAAACTCGCTGACACACACACACAATACAGACAAACTCACTGACACACACAAGCTCACTACAGACAAGCTCACTGACACACACAAGCTCACTACAAACAAGCTCATTGACACACAACACAAGGTCAATACAACCAAGCTCACTGACACACACACAAGCTTTCTCACTAGCAGGCACACACACGCATACAAGGCTGAGTATATCAAGCCTACCTGTCACTGGAGGATGTTACTGGAAGGACAGGTGGCCATCTTGGGCCTCTTCCTCCTGCAGCAAGGTCTGCTGCTTAGCAGGGGCGGGGCTTTTGTTTGTGAGGCGGAGCTAACATATGTGGGTGGAGCTTGCATTGTGGGGGCAGAGCCTGCGTACGTGAGGCGGAGCAGTAGCCTGTGTGCCGGGGAAGCTGCTGGGAAATTGGAGACTCTCAGTGCTCCCTCTGGCCCCAGCAGCCTCAATTCAGCCCCCAGAACCTCTCTATAGTCCCCAGCATCTCTATCCAACATCTCCCAACAGTTAGCAGCTCTCTTCTGAATTCCCTCACACTGTAACAGGCTGTTACCGTCCGAGGGAATATAATAAAAGCACATGACCCAGCAAGTTGCCGGGACTGTCCAGGGAGAGTAAATTGCCCGGGACAGACTCCAGCTTGCCAGGACTGTCCCAGCAAAAATGGGACAGTTGGCAACTATTAACTGTACTAAAATTGTGGTGTCTTGTTGTTGCTGTTTTTTTTTGTTTGTTTTTTTTCTTATTAACCCCTTAAGACCGGAGGGTGTACTATTACGCCCTGTTCTAAGCGGCTCTAAACGCCGCCAGGCGTAATAGTACGCCCTCTGGTCTTTCGGTACTTACCCGGTCGCCGGCGATCCCACACCGGCGATCGCGGTTCGAGGGACTCCCAGGGAGCTCCCCGCGGCACCTCCGTCCTCCTGGAAGCCCCCTGGCCATGTGAGAGTGGGGTCCTTGCGAGGACTCCACAATCACATGGCCGGGGGTAGCTGTCTGCAGCATTGCCAGCAGGGGGGCTGCCTGTAATGACAGGTGGTCCCCCTGCTGGCTGAAAATAAAAATGAATAAAATAAATAGTGTAAAAAAGAAAATAATATATACTTAGATCATATATATATATATTATATATATATGATCTAAGTATATATATACACAAATACATACACACACGTACACCGTCTAGGTGTGTTTTACTATTATAATTATATATATATATATATTAATATCAA